AAAGGATCTCCCTAGGGACAAAAAGACCTTGGCCTAATAACCTTTAATTTGTTGATTATATGCAAGATAATATCAATCTTTACATGAATCACAAATCAAAAAATCGACCAACAACCAAAATTCCAATGTCTAACACACAACTCTAGTGCAATACATCATCTATCAAGTATCAACAAATACAATGCATTAAGATTTTGTTAAACTTCATTTAATTACATAATATTTGACAAACAACCCTTTGAGACATGAAATATAGTTGGCATAGTCATGCCACCAAATAGATGCCCACTAACCCAAAATCAACCAAAAATCAAAGACAATTTTTAGCAAACAATAATTCACATGTCTAACTCCAAAACTCGTGTGGTAAATCTTCAATGAAATAATTGATAAAGTCATGTCACCAAGTAGTGATTAAAAATGTCGGTTTAGCAAATAGACAATTTATATAAATTAAAATAAACACATTTCTGATTTTATTCTTTCTTGACAAAAACTATTTTTTTTAAAGAAGACACTACTATGAAAGAAATAACATGGAATGTTGTAAATATACAAATAGCATGGTGAATGATATTTGCAGTGTTGTTCCATTCAGCACATTACACTTCTCCATATGAACCTATTCATAAGGAAAAATATATCAATAAGTTTTCTTAAAAGATATCCATATGAAGTCTAGAAAATTAGGAATAAAACTCAATATCAGCAAGGACATCAGGAAAGCATAAAATCAACTTTCAAATGAAGAACTTTCACAAAAAAAATAAATAAATAAATAAAAGATCAATGTGCAATAAACTAATCTATACTAAAACTGAAACAAACAAAATTTCTCAAGAGCAAACTTCTTTTATGAAACATCACCCTATAAACCCACCAAATCCCTGCCTAGTTTAACAAAAGCTGAAAACAATATAATGGCCTAGAGACGTGCATATCCATGGCTGAAGTTGGAATGATGAACTAGGGAGAGCCAGAATGGTAGCAACAGGGGTATGAAAACGGAAAACCCCACAAAAAGAGAAAGTCTGGACTCAAAAAACATATAGTTTCGCACAATAGTTTTGAAGTCCAAAGATCTCAGGAGGCGGAAGCAATGGAGGAAGTTGTGGCTACTGAGCTCAACGCGATGGCAGGTATAGGTCTTCTCCTCCTTATCCCTCTTCCGCTCCCCCTGCTGATCTTAAGCATGATTTCATCCTCCACCTCCACATTCACCTCCTCTTCTTCAGTCCGGATAGGTCAGCTGTGAACACGTGTGCCTCTGAGGTCTCCTTCCAGTGGAAACGTGCGCCTGAAACGGTTATCTCGGCGGAGAGACCGGATCGGGAAAGGAGAGGTTGGAGCCGCACTGAAAGCCCCCGATCCGGTGGAGAGGGCGTTGATACCACGGATCATTTGTTCACGATATGCTGCAGCGGCTTGGATTCAGCAAAGGCTGCCTTCAAAACTTCAGCACGCCGGAGCAGTACAGGGATGCCATGCTCAAAGGGAGCACCATCGGTGGCGTTGACGTCGTCTTTGATGAGATCCCGTATCTCAACCTCTTCCTCTCTGAATCCTGCACGGACTTTCACCATGGTCGGTCGGATTTACAAAACCGACGGTTTTGGCTTTGTCTTCCCGAGAGGCTCACCGCTCGTAGCGGATGTTTCGAGGGCGATACTGAATGTAACGGAAGGTAATATTATGAAGAATATAGAGCGGAAGTGGTTTGGAGATCAGAGGTTATGCGCTGCTGCCATTAGCTCATCCAGCTTAGACATTTGGCGCTTTGGTGGTCTCTTCCTCGTTACTGGAACTGTATCAATTTTATGTGTTATGCTGTACATTGGAATCTTTATCTGGAAGGAGTGGGATGAGCTCAAAGCAGCAGCTATCAATTCTAATGATAGAGTGACCGGATCGGGGCTTCAGTGCTGGCTCCAACCTTTCCTTTTCTCGATCCGGTCTCTCGGCCGAGATAATCTTTGCAGGGGCACGTTTCGACTACTAAGGAGGCCTCAGGGCACACGTGTTCACAGCTGACCTATCCGGGCTGAAGGAGGAGGAGATGAATGTGGAGGTGGAGGATGGGATCGTGCTTAAGATCGGCGGGGAGCGGAAGAGGGATAAGGAGGAGAAGACCGATGATGTCTGGCATCGCATTGAGTCCAGTAGCTACAGCTTCCTACGGTTTAAATCTAGTATTTGTTGCTTTAGACAATTTGTCAATGAATTTTATGATGTCACTCCTACGGTTTAAATCTAGAATTTAGCATGCAAAGTGCATCATTTTGCCTTCTTGTAAGCAAATCCACACCAGCATCACTACTTTCAGCTGTATTGTTATTCTGTTCTTAAATATTTGGTTTTTGGATGGATGTCTATTGTGGGTGGTCTAAAAATTGTGGATGCTTTAATTAAAAGAAATATTTGGGTTGATGCCATATTCCTTTTATGCCACGACTGCACCAAGAGCTCTAGCAACTTGTTCTTCGAATGTTCTTTCTCTTTCTCCATTCTAAATGAATTAATTTCTGGCTCAAGTGCTCTGTTTTTAAGGAAAAATTATTAGGTGCGGAGTGCAGACGGGTTAAGGCCGAATATTACACAACTTCTGGTATGGATTCAAGAGTTACCCAAAATCTCTTAGGCTGTTAAGAATCTTTATCTTCTTATTGCTGGTTGCACTGTTTATTATGTTTGGCGGGAAAGAAATGGAAGTCGTTTCAAAAATATTATGAACAGCTCTAGTACCACCACTCTTATCATCGGGAGAGCTGTTTTTTCAAAAATTTACATTCCTAAACATGTGACTTCACCGAAAAATCATTAACAGTCAGCTGTATTGTTATTCTGTTCTTAAATATTTGGTTTTTGGATGGATGTCTATTGTGGGTGGTCTAAAAATTGTGGATGCTTTAATTAAAAGAAATATTTGGGTTGATGCCATATTCCTTTTATGCCACGACTGCACCAAGAGCTCTAGCAACTTGTTCTTCGAATGTTCTTTCTCTTTCTCCATTCTAAATGAATTAATTTCTGGCTCAAGTGCTCTGTTTTTAAGGCCGAATATTACACAACTTCTGGTATGGATTCAAGAGTTACCCAAAATCTCTTAGGCTGTTAAGAATCTTTTATCTTCTTATTGCTGGTTGCACTGTTTATTATGTTTGGCGGGAAAGAAATGGAAGTCGTTTCAAAAATATTTTGAACAGCTCTAGTACCACCACTCTTATCATCAGGAGAGCTGTTTTTGCAAAAATTTGAAAGTGGAAACATGGTCATGAACTTTTGGACTTTTTTGTAATGGCTGGATGCTGATTCTGTCTCCATGTCTTTCCTTTTATTCATCGTGAGCTGCTTCAAATCAGTTTATGTGGTACAGGATGATGATATATGCCTCTCTAGGCTCTCCCTTTGGACGGCCTTATGGGCAGCCAAGGGAGTTTTTCTGCGCGCTTTATATGCTGACTAATATTTTCTAGGGAGTTTTACATACATACCACTTAATACTATTCTATTTACATATTTAACATCTAAAACTTTAATATTACATAAATACCACCCATAGTTCATTTTCATACAAAATATGAGTGGTAGAAATGAAATATATGAGTGGTAGGAAAGAAATATAAGTGGTATATTTGATATTAAAATAATATAGGGTGGTATGGATGTAATATTAAAATTTTAGGTGTTAGATATGTAAATAGGATATTATAAAGTGGTATGTATGTAAATTTCCCTATTTTCTAACATTAACAGAGCATGTCAGTTGCTCATAGCTTCTTTGAATTGCCTTTTTCTTTTTTTCATTTCAAGTTAGCTGTTTTTGTTTTTAGAAAATAGTTTAAATAGATAATAAAATATGTAAGATACTTTTTTTATTATTATTTTAAATAAATTGAGCTGCTTTGAAATTTTAGAAATCACATGTTTCTGTCTGAAAGTTTATAAAACAAATTTGGATTGAAAAAAAAAAAGAGAGATTTAAAACTTGGGCCAAAAGATTTACGCAAAACACTGCAAAATATTAAGGAACAACTGGAAAATTGAATTAAGCTAAAGAAATATGAATTAAAAGAAATTAATGCTTTATTTGAAATAATTTTTTTCATACCTTTTAAGCAACTTTCTAAGTATTAAAATTATTGCATAAATGTTTTATGAAAAATAATACAAAATTTTTAATGTAATTTTATCTAAAATTATTCTCAATAAGCCATTAAGGTAGCAATTCATGTAATGTATTAATGTTGTAAAAAATTTCTTCAAACATACAAAGAATAAGTTTTTGAAGGCATAATACCAGGGATTATCCCTCGTATTATGAATGTTATTGATGTGCCTCAAGAAAATTTACTTAATCAAATACGAACTTTGATCATACATTCATTGGTTAATTGTCACAATCCATTCATCTTCAAATGTTCAAATTGTCGACACCCAATTGCCATTATTCGATTACCATCATCTTATTATCATGTCGCATCTCCAACATTCTCAGTATTCATGAGGATAAGCTAGTGCCTAATGTTTCAATTGAAAAAGAACAAGTTCTTTTAATATATCTAGATAGTTGATCACTTCATGTGGATCAAACCTCGTAAAAATATGAGTGGATAATATATATATTTTTTATTTACGTATTGATCTTCATGTAAAATTAGGATGAAATTTTCTTTTTTAATATCCTAAATTTTCTCTAACATAATAATTATATAATAATATATTTTTAAATCGCCTATTATATATTAAAGCCATAATTTTCTTTTTTTATCACATACTCAGCAATATTTGACTATGTTATATTTATAAAAAAAATTAAAATATTTTAAAAATATTTAGTAAATTCTTCATTTCCTCTCATCGAAAGTTTTATAGAAGCTCAATATTTGGGCTTAATTATCCAACCAAATTTAAGAAGCTTCTACCTATGTCCAGAAACTTATAGAATTTGTGCCCTATCACGATAAAACTGGAACCCTCATGATAATTAAGAAAAACAAAAATAAAAATTATATACTTTTTATTGACAAAAATCCAATAAAAGCTATCCTAGAAGATTGATACAAACTACTCGGAGAACAACCAAGCCAACAATTTATGATCGAATCTACAAGCAGATTAATAGTTTCTGCATGTGCAGATAACAAAAAGAATTCAATCAATAAGCTTATTGGTAACGGTAAATAGAATTATTAATAGAAATTCCACCAACATCATGCTGCAGATATTTCAGATAATATTTAGATCCTCTTGAGAGATTTATATTTTTTCTCCTTTCTTCTGGAATGGATTCGAAGAAACAAGCACGGAAACCACGCCTCACAAACCTGTCATCACATTTTTGCTCAATTATTTAGAACATTGCATAGAAAAAAAAAAACCAACATTAAAGCACCATTTAAATTTTATTATTTACTCAAATAAATAACATTTAAGAGTAGCAGGAAGCTTCGATCATGAGGATTATTCGGCATACATAGTCAGCTTCAGGGAAAGATAGAGGGTGACGGTCAAGCAAGATTGCGGTGTAACGGAAGAATTTGCTTTACACTCAAAATGAATTACTTTATTCTACATTACATTAATTAAACTTTACTTTGCCTTATTTTGCATTCAATGAAATAACAAAATTTGTAAAAACACAACATTTGAAATACTTTAAACCCTAAAGTAATCCAACCAAACAACCCCTTAAACACTGCATCAAATAATACATGTAACATTTAAAGACAAACAATTTATATAACTAAATGAAAATAAGAAGAAATATTATAAACATCCACTAATGCAAATAATAGTAATAATAATAAATAATCATTCATAATTATAATTAATCATAACAAAAACAAAAGAACAAAACATATGTACAAAATAGCATATATATATAATAGACAAGGCTGAAACAAAACTTCTAAATTATGTTTTATTTTGTTATGGTTATGTTATCATTGAAATCAAATAAGTTTTCATTTCAAGTAATAATATAAACAAAATAAAAAATAAAAGCAATCCCAACCCATCTCTTAGTATTTAAAATTGCCCAAAATTAAGTAGCATACCAGTCAGCAGTACGGGTAGTCAACAGGAAAAGTTTCTCTAGCCCAAGAGAAGATGCCTTTTTCTCAACATAATCTGTACCAAAAAAAAAAAATCCATGATGGCATATCTTAGTAAAAGTAGGCAATTTTAATAGTTTCCCAAAAGAAAGAATCTACAAAAAAAAAAACTTAGGAATAATGCAAACATATCAATTATACGCTAGAAAACATAAACATCTAATAAGAGTTGAGGAGAATACAAGCATATATCCCAATGCTAATAACATAGAAATAAAATTTCAATAAAAACAACTTGAGAAAACAGTAATTCCAAACATAAGAACTATACCAAGTAGTCTGTCCCCTTGTCCGTTCCCTCGGCATTCTGGAGATACAGCAATGGCAGCAATCTCACCACATTTCTCCTTGAAAAAAGGGAAAAGTGCAGCACAGGCTATAATTGAGCCATCTCGCTCTACAACAACAAATGAACCTGATTCCAATATTTTTAATAGCTGAAAGAAAAAGAAAAAAAATTTAGCCTGTTCAGTTCGAACTTAATATAAGCATAAACTGAAAGGATAACAAAGAATAAGAAGAATAACGTTTTCATTGGGTTAAAGAGTTTCTGGTAATTAAAAGAAATAGACAGATAAACTTAAACCTCTTCATTGGTCCTCCGAAGCAGTGTTCCTGATTCTTCCAAAGGTTGAAGAAGTTGCTGTATACCAAGAAGATCTTCCACTCTAGCTGTCCGAGTTCCCTCGTAGACATCACTAGAGAAAAAATAAAAAATATAAGAAAGACAAATTTAGTTGCTTCTGGTGAAGATGTTCTTACAATTAGCAGTTTCACTCAACGTGTGATATACTAAATAACAGAAAATTGACAAACACATGCCTCGGATCACTCAACGTGTGATATACATTCTAAGCTAACAGCCATACAACTTCAATATACGAGATTCATTACAAGATGAATGAATTTCTTTATGAAGCAGATCTACCAGACAGTATAGTGTATGTAAATGTCTCCTATTTTTTTGGGGATAAGGTAAAATCATTTTGCATATGATGCTGTTAAAGGAAATTGAAGTCATCAAAAGTTCATGTTTCTGTACCTAGCCACCATAGTCCCAACTCCATCCCTTGTAAATAATTCCAAAAGCAAGGCGCCACCAAGAGTGCCATCTATTACATGTACTCTTTGAACTCCACCCTGTTCAGGGAAGATTAGACTAGTTAATGTAAATCTTTAAAAAATTGCATTTAGGTAAGGGTTTGACAGATTATTTGCAATATGATTTTAAGAACATTTGCAGAAGAAATTAGCCAGCCCATCAAGGTTGGTTAGTAAAAAAAGAAAATTTATTATTAAATCCCCAAAAATTTGTAATTTATTATATTAAGAATCAGAAAAGTATCAAAATGATCTCAACTCTTTAGGAGGGATCAAAAAAGTCTCCGACTATTTTGAGGGACCAATTTGGTCGCTCAACTTTTTAAAATGTGACCATTTTAATCCTAACACCCAAACTAATAAATGTTGGACTTCATAGTGTTAAAAAAATGGGCATTTTAGTAATTTTTAATTAAACTATTTATTAGATATATTTTTTAGTAATTATATTTAAAAAAAAGTATTAATCATTTATTTAATAAGAGAAATTTATAAAATTTTTAATTATAATTTTAAAAATTTTAGTCATATATTAATTATTTAACTTAACTAATAATAACTTAGGGATATTAATGTTATACCGATCCAGCCGGCCCCTTATGGACCGGCTCACACGGCCCAGGCGGAATATAGCCACTATTATTATTTTGATTAATAATTATCTATTATTTATATTATTAACTATCTAATTAGTAATTACTTTTTTCATTTTAATAATTTATTAATTTATTAATTAAATTACATAAATTAGTTCCTAAACGATTTGCTACTATTTCTTCTCTTCCGCGTTCTTCATTGATGTTGGATGCTCATCCGCATTCTTCGTTGCTATTGGATGCAGTAGGGTTTTGAACGAGTCGTTAAAGCCTTTCTTCACCTCCTTCGACGGCATTCCTTCCTGTCAAATCGGAATTCGCTAAAGTTCGCTAACGTAGCAACAGGAGCGTTTTGAACGATCAGGGGAAATCTGGTTAACTACAATCTGACTTAAGGGAAGTGGAATCCTACAGCTGCAAAGCGGGATTCGCGCATTCGTGCAATTTTTCTTGAGCCAACATCCTTCCTCCTTCGACAATGCTCCTTCCTGTCGAATCGGAAGTCGCGAAAGTTTGCCATTCTTCATGATGGATCGGACGTAGCAACAAGAGCTCTCTTGCTATGAATGCAAATATTGTTCTCTCTTTCATTTTTGTGGTTATTCCGATCATACGCTGGCTGCCTTCCAAAATTTCCATTATTTTTAACGACAAAAACAAAATTGTCCATTTTAAAGAGTTGAGGGAACAAATTAGTCTCTCAAAATAGTTGAGGACTATTTTGGTCTCTCCCAAAGAATTAAGGGGCTACTTTGATCCTTCTGTCTATTTAAGGCTTCATTTGATTATCCGGTACCTTTCATAAAAAGATAGTTTTAGAAATACCGGTTAGGGAATGAATTTTTCTAACTGAGAAGTAAATATCAAAAAGTTTTTCAAAACAGTAGAAAAAAGTTCCCTAAAAAGCATTTCTATAGAGGGGTCCCATCCAAACAGCGACCAAAAAATAATTTCACCATTTCTAAACATGAAAGGGAAAAAAACGCCCTCTCAAACGAGGCCTAAGAATACTATTTCTGAAGTAGTCTATTCTCATAGCTTTCTCTGAATATGTTCATAACTGATGCATCATGACTATAGTTGCTTGCCATACACATGGAGAAACACAAATTAGCAAAGGTCACTAAATATTTCAGAAGTACAACCTTTAGCCCGAGTTAGTTGCTCAAACGTGGCAGTAAAATAGGAAATTCTAATAAAGCAAAAAAAAATTGTTGGAATAACTTTAGCTAGATTTATTTGTTATTAAGGCTACTTGGTAAATCTTAAATGAAGCAGTGCAGAACTGATGCTGATTCAGATGTGCATACTGTAAGCAAGAACAGAAGCAGATGCTCTCACAAGAACCCAATTTATAAGAAATGTGAGAGTCTATAAATAGGTCAAAACAAAGTAGCAACATCAAATGCAAAATTTACATACCCTGCATACATATGCCGCCGCAGCCAATTCTGATAAATAGCCATTCAATCTACTCACTCGCTCTTCACCTCCAATTGCAAATCCCTGCTCCATGGGCCACAGACCATTTCCATCATCAAAACCAACACCATTCAGAAACTTTGCGCTGTACCTAGTTTTATCTTTCACATCCAGCGGAGTAGAGTAGATTCTAGTTGAATCAAGGGAGCCAGCGCAGCTAATATTTTCTTCACTCACAACTTTGACATAATTTGCAGCTATTTCACTTTGCTTAGCTCGCTGTCTGATCAACTTATCAGCATCTTGGAGAGTCATGAAACGAATTAGCCATCCATGATCATCACGAATCTGACCATCAACAATGCAGATCAACTTATCAGCCTCAATTGCTAAGGCACAGGCGGTTGCAACTTCGTAAGTGCTGGACAATTCAAAACCAAAAAGAGTCACAAACTACTAGGAAAGTCTAATCAAGAAATACCTAGATTAAGCCAAAATCAACTAAAGTGGCAATTTTAACTAATGATAATGCAACAGAAAAAAAGCTTGAACGTTTAAGTTTATACAATAATAAAGAAACATCAACACCAAGTCTTTTTCCACTACATGGAGTGGCTACATAAATCATTTTTCTCCTTTGTGTCCTGTTAAGAGTCAAATTCTAATTTAAATATAATAAAAAATTGTCATTTCTAATATTTTCTAACCAAGTATGTTTAGGTCTATCTCTACATTTCTTAACATAGGTCAAATCTAATACATCTACTCTCCTAAGCGAGTCATCAGAAGGCCGGCATTTTATGTGACCAAACCATTTAAGTGACTCTCTCTAATCTTATCAGCCACTGGAGCTACTTCAACTTTTTCATATATATGCTTGTTTTGCATTCCGTCTCCAAGAGTAAAGCCACTCATCCACCTGAGCATTCTCATCTCTACAACACTTAATTTTATGCTTCTCTTTTATTGGCCAACATTATGCGTCATAAAGCATTGCAGATCTCACCACCATCGTATAGAATTTTCCCTTAAATTTGAGGAGTATTTTTCTATCCCACAACAGGCCCGATGCATTCTTCCACTTCAACCATCCAACTTGAATTCTATTAAAAATATCCCCAACTATTTCTCAATCTATATAATAGACTTGAGATATATAAAATGTGTACTCTTATTAATGACTTAATCGTCCAAAGTCAAAATCCCACCACTAGATTTATTAATACTAACACATATATTATGATTTAGATCTACTCAAAGAAAAACCTTTAGACTCTAAGGTTGACCTCCATAATTCAAGTTTCCTTCAACTCCCTCTCTAGTTATATAAACAAGAAGAATATGATACGATAACAGGATCCAATGGAGAAATTTTGGCCCCTCTTGCGTGGCCCAATAAAGAATTAATTCATTATATTAGGAAAGGAATTAAAGGGACGATTGGAAAATTTTTCTAATTGAATTCAGATTAAAGATGCAAAGATATCCTAATTGAATCCAAATTAAAGAGGGAAATATTTCCTAACTGAATTCAAATTAAAGGGGAAAATTAATAAGGAAAGAAATTTGTTTTGGAGGAAATTTGAGAACTTATTTAAGGAGCGGTCTAGGATTATTTCTCTTCATGCATGTTCTATTGAGTTTTTTGCTATAGTTTTTTTTTTTTTTTGTGAGGGTTTCCTAGAGGCGTCTAGGTTGGTTGGAAGAGACAATCTACCTCTCTAATTGTAGATTGATTGTATCTTTGTTTCTAGTTGAGTTATTAATAAAAATCAACCACTATTTCCTCCAAAATCTGTTATTTTTTACCGTTTTTCTGTGAATTTCCATTATGTTTGTTGAAATTGACTCCAAGTAACAGCTCCTGCATACATATCCGAATTGACTTGAATATGAGCATTATTAAACTCTTTCTTTTCTAGAAGTCAGCACTTCTCTTAGAACTTTATCATTTGCTTTCTCTAAATCAATAAATATAATAATAAAGAAACAAAATAAATAAAAATGATTAAAAAATAAAGGAAAGAATAGTTGTTGACTTTCAATAAAATAAAAAATCTCAAGAGAAACGAAATAAAGTTAGCTGGGATAGTGTGTAACATAAGCCTAAACATAGCCAGACCAAATCAGTTACCAATTATTGCCATCCTACTGTATACGCGCTGAAACCAAATATTAATTAATTAAATTAGACTCCAACAAAGAAACTTCAGCAATTGCTTCTATCCTATGAGAAGAAGAAGTAAACTGAACAATTTTCTTAAATCATACAATTTTGACATAATGAGACAATGATGGTCGCTTGTCCGGCATAGACAATTAAAATTTTAAAACAAAATATAACTACTTATATTCTACCTTAAAGCAAAAAAAGATCCAAAAATAAGGATTAATAATATCATTGAAGAAAGCTAAAAGCGTACTTGCAATTTAAAACTTCTCCTGCACTGGAATAGCCAAGATTGCTTACAATGACAATGCAATCTCTATCTAGCCTTTCTCGAATTCGCGAGACATCTATTCTTTTAACTTCACCAGTCGCTCCAAAATCAATTCCTTCAACAACTCCTCTTCTCTGTCAAACAAAAAAGAGTAATCCCTTTGTATAACTGAAAGAGAGCAGATCAAAACAATTAAAAAAAAAACAAAAATAAAAACTTGATGAAAACTTCCTAAAAATTTAATATTAATAATAGTTAACATTTCAAGAGGGAGAGAAGGTAAGCAAAATTTTGGAAGATATTAAAATCTATAGAACAATACTTGAGCGGGAGTGGGTGGTTGGTCACTTCTCCGGCATATTCTTGAATAAACACCTCTAAGAGACAAAGAACAAGCAAAATTTCAGGCTTTACCCCACCCTCCTGAATAAAAGAGATTATAATGAAAAGATTAATTTTTTTAACAATTTAGGTTTCAATTATTATCTAATTCATATTCTTACATAAACACCTCTAAGAGTACAAAGGACAAAGCAAAACTTCAGGCAATTTTACCCTACCCTGCTCAAAGACAAGCCCAAAAAATGCTTTTTAGAACACTTACCTCACAAACAAAGGCATAGAGCATTTTTATGCAATAAGAGCATAAAAGGCACTTGGAGCATGTCGCTAACCCACAGAATGTATTTGCACTCCCAAGAAGCATATTGTACCATTTGCTAAAAAATGGATAAAATATGCTTGTAAATCGAGACTTTGAACTTGTGTATCACACCCAAACCATATGTATGCTTGGTCCAAAATGATCAAATAGAGTTCATGCCTTTACAAAGTTCCTTCAAGCTATATACAAATGCAGAAGTAACATAAGCATGTTACAACTGACACCCAACTGTTAGTTTTTTTAATCTAATTTATTCTAGGAGCCACTCCATTTTTCTTTAAGGAATAAACCCATTTAAAAGGCCAGCCAATCAGGTGTCATGAAACCACTAATCGATGTTTGTTGAAGCAGTAGATGACAACCTTCCCGGGTTTAAGTGGTTCTTCTCCTTATGAAAAATATTTTATCACCTATTTTTGTTCATTTGTTTCTAATAGTTACCTAAATCGAACAAGAGGCCAAGACATTACATTAAAGAGACCATACATCCATTTTAATACAGAGCTTTTTTTTCTAAATAAGACACCAAGACATCTTAAATGTTTCAACAAATAAATCTTGAATACTCAAGATAATGAAAACTAATTGAAATCAAAATTAAGAATCCTATGGTAAGATGTTTTAACTTCCCCTTTTAAATAACCATTTGGCACAAATGAACAAAACTAGGAGGCAAAATATTTAGCAATAAAAGAAGAATCACTTAGCCTTAGAAAGTTGTCATCACAGAGTTTTAAGGACAGATTAGCGCTGCAACTAATTGATTGACCTTTCATATGCTAATCCCCTAAATAAAACGGAGAGGATTGAATTCAAAAGTAAATGAATTTCTAGTTTTATGTGAATGCATAAGATGTAGATAAATTCCATATTGAACACCATTCTGATAGGAAACACTTGAAGATATCAAGTGAAAACCTATCAATCTTGAAAAAACAACGGAGAATATCCACAAAACTCCAAGGAAATACCAGAAAACAGCAAGTTTATTGCAATAATCAAAGATAAAGGAAGGAAAATACCAAGATACAATTGATCCTCAATTCGAGAGGAGGATATACCTCTGTAATGTCAAGATGCAGCTTGTCCTCCTCTCTTCTTGTCTCACTCTCACCTTGATGCAGTCCATGTAGGGGCTGATTTGGAGGGATTTTTGGTAGTTGTTTGGTCTTCCCATGCAGTTGTTTTGTCTTTCAATGTGATTGCTTTGTCTTCCCATGGTGGTTGTTCGATTTTCATGCTGTCCCTTGGTTTTCCTATTGCTAGTTGCTTGTTTGGATCGGTTTTCCCTGTTGCTGGTTGTTCTGATTTCCCTCTTATTGTTTCCTATGTTGTGTGCTTTAACTTCACATTAAATGGGTTGTCTTGATAGGCTCCTATTGGCTGTTTTTGGTGGCACAATTATGTGAACTATTGAATGATATTCCCCCTTCTTACTCCTATAAATTGGGGCTGAATTCCTTTATAAAAGTGAGTTTTTGAGAGTGATATGTTATGAATATTTGGAACGTGAAACAAGCGGGTTTGTCATAGCTTGCAAGCTATCCTCTTTTACATTCCTTATTTTTTGTCTCCAACTTCTATCTATTCTTCTCTCTACGGCTCACATTCCACCTGTATCTTTCTTCTAAAAACTTTGATTAGTCATAAGGTGTTGATATGACCTATTTAATGTGAGTTTGAAGTGGTGTGTTGCAATATTCTATTAGTGTTTGTTTAAATTATTTTGAAAGGAAGTTTGTAATTTACATTCTTAGAATCAAAGTTGTTTTTATGTTGCATCACACCTCTCTCCTCAGTTTTCTCATCATCACAGACGATGAGAACCTGAAGAGTTCAGTCAATGCACCTATGCCTTAGAGAATACTTCTCATCACATCTAAAGCATAGTACCTTTGCCCTCTTCTCCAACATCTCCCTCTCAAGGCATTCTTCCAACTCATCCACTTTCTTGGCCGCCATCAATGCTCGGATTTTTGTTGGACTCAAAAATCTAGATATTGACCCCACAAACAGCAAAATAACCCCTCTTTAGACAAAAATCGGCCACCGGATTTCACAAAAACAACCCAAAAATAGTCCCAAAAACTGCTCTGATACTAATTTGATAAGAAACATTTGAAGATCTCAAGTGAAAACCTATCAATCTCGAAAAAACTGCAGGGAATATCCACAAAAATCTGAGGAAAAACAAGAAAACATCAATTTTATTGCAACAATCAAAGATAATGGAAGGAAAATACCAAGATACAGTTGATCCTCAATTCAAGAGGAGGATCTATCTCTCCCAATCCCTAGATGCCGCTAGAGCCCAAGATGCCGAGCACCAAGCACAACAAAATTAGCTACAATTATCTGGTGCCCTAACCCTAATACAAATAAAAATTCCTACTTAAAGCAAATACAAAAATAATATAAAAGGACTTAATAGCCCTCAAACAATTAGCCCTAGGTAGTGGACCCCACCCTAAGGGGGGGGAGGGAGGGGGATTGGGAGCCTGCGAACCAGCAGGCTTGCGCCTGCTATATTGCAGGAGCAAGCCCACAAGTTGGGCCAGCTAGACAAGTCCAAGCGTATCACATTCCAAATAAAATTCAAAGATGAATTTGACTTTTCATCATGCTATATGCTTGCATGCATCAAAAGTTGGAAGCTCAAAGGAACTCATGCATCATTAAAAAAAAAAAAAATCATCACTGCCTCTTAAGGAAGAAATGGCCAGGGAAACAAATTCATCAAGTGTATAGAAGTTGATATTAGCTATGCCTCGAGAGTCTCAATTCTAGATAAACAAGAAGGAATTATAACATACAAGCATCAAGAAATGGAAGCTGGACCTTAAATACAAATCAGGGTAACCACAAAACATGACTTGGGAGTTAAAACTCTCAATAAATAGTACTCCAAGATGATTTTAGAAGATTTTTCAAAGGATTTGAAGCATAGCAGAGCTGGGATCAAAAGCCAATGAAAAGCTCATCATAGTAGGCTTCGTTTGAGACAACTTTTTTACTGTTTTATAAAACTATTTTCAAGCAACAAATTTTAATTCAACAAATTTTTATACTAAAAACCTGCTTTAAAACGTAATAAAAAAACTGTCTCAAGTGAAGCCTGTTAAACACCACAAGCCCACAGCTAAGTTAGTCAGAGAACAAACAAAACAATTGAATAGTTCTTTAGATGGCAATTCATCATAAGCAATTAAACACCAAGCATAAATCTCAACATGCAAGACATGAAAGACAAATGCTGAAAACTCAAAAGATGTATATAAATACACTTTTCATGGTTACTCAAAATGGAAATTCAATTGGGCTTTCCGCCGAAACCAAAGCATTATGGAAGTTTTAAATTAATTTCAGCTGAAATTTGTTCCAAAACAAGCTGAAATTTCCAACTTTGATTGGATTGGCCAAAGTTTGGAAGAAACCAAAATAGAAGACTCCCGATAAATATTCCCCTTATCACATCTCAAAATGAAAAGCCGTTTAAAACCACATACATAATCACATAGAAGAAAGGAGAGAAGAAGTTTCATGCAAAGTCCTCCCACTCCTAAGGCCTAAAGACCTCAACAACACTCACCACAAAAAAATAAGATAAAGAGAGGAAGAGAAGTGTTTGTTGAATCCATAACATTCTACTGCCTGGCATCCGTCAAAAGAGTTCAATTCTAAAGTGTGAGAGCAAGGTGTGAACAAGGACAGGAATTTGTTAATGGCCCACAAAACTTTTTGCATTCCTGGAGCAACCCTGACTCGAGTGATAGTGAACACGATAGAGCAAAGGAGGAGACATAAGAGGAGATTGAAGCATAGGATTGTGCGTACAAGCGACCAGTAAGGCATTTGGATGTGGATGTGGATGTGGATGTGGAAGTGGATGTGGATGGGATCAATCAAGTAGAAGACCCGAGAGGATATGTTACGCCGACCCAAGAGGGGCCGGCTGGACCGGTCTAGGTTCATGTTTACTCGCGACGGAACCGCGAGCGGGAGGCGGAACTGAGCGGGCGAAGCGAAGCCGACGGGGGCCAGGGAAGATTTTTGGGAGGGAAATTTTGAATGCGAGGGGCTGTTTAGACATTTTGTAAAACTCCTTTATGGTTAATTAGGGGTTTTGGGTGTGAATGAGGGATTATCTTGAATTTGTATTCTCTTGGAGTTCTAGGGTTTCTTGTTTGGGCTCTTGGCGTTGCCGGAGATTGTTGGAGAGTTGTTCTTCCTCTCGAATCGAAGAATATTGTATCTTTCTTATGGTTTTTGCTTCTACTATTGAAATACAATAGTTTTGTGCAATTTCTTCTCAGATTTTTCGCGTTTTCTTCCTGTCTTTCCCTGTTTCCTGGCTGATTTCCACTGTGGACAGCAGTTTGGCATTGGTTCTTCTTGGTTTTGGGTAAGAAACACCAATCCAAGTGTTTCCTATCAAATTGGTATCAGAGCAAGATCCGGGCGGTGGAGGGC